CCAAGCGTCGCGGTGACAAGGGCGAGTCCGTTGGGAAGCGGCGACATCAACGTCAAGTTTGTTGTGAGGACGGCTTGCAGCGACGTGTTGGCAAAGGCGAACCGAGGACTCGTTCGCAAAAGACTGAGACCGCCGATACCACTGGTGTTGGATGCAATCGCAGAGAGATCGTTGGCGAGCGACCAGTACATCTTGTACGTTGTCTGACTGCTCCAGCGGTAGCTGCCGTTGAGGGCCATCAACGGCATTGGGTAGGCGACACCGTACGCGTTGGTTATGGTATAACTGTTGATGGCGCCGATACGCTTGTAGTTTTGCCACTGCACTTGAAAGATTGATAGATTGTGCTGGCGCCACAGCGCGATTTCATCTTGCAGCGGCAGTCGCTCTGTCGACACGGAATGCAGCCAGTCTTGACCGTCGGACGACTGTCGCAGCTCAGCACCAAACGCCGTCTCAAACGCACTGCCCCAACAATACGCAAAGGTTGCGTAGTCAATGTTGCGCAGCACCGACTCGAGGTACACGGCAGCGTTCGTCTCCATCTTCTGACACCGCAGTTGGCGCTGGCTGGAGTAGGCGATTTGCCATCGCTTCTTCCAGTCGAGGTAGCAGTACGGCGTAAAGATCCACGGCGCGTTGCACGCATCCGAGACGCGAAGACCCGCAATCGAGGTTTCAATCGCACTGAGATCATTGTGCTGGAGCCAGGCACCATAGTTGTTGACGGTCGAGACGAACGCTGTCGGCGCTGCATAGGAGCCGAGGAGGTTGATGCTTGGATCATCGAGCGCAATATTGTGGTTGTCCAAACCCAGCACGAGCTGTTCGTTGAGCCAGTTGGCAAAAAACGTGTGGTGGCCCGTGACGTTAAAGTTGGGCCAGTAGAGATCGTTGGCCAAGTTGACTTTGGAAATCTCAAAGTACGAGACACTGCCCAGAATGGCAACGACAACGTAGCTCAGACCAAGCACGGCAAGGGTCTTGCGCCAGCGCCGACCCCACGACACGAACACTCTCGGTGGCTTTGCTTGAAACACATGCTCGGGCTGCGGACTTATCGGAAGAATGGACCGGACCCGGGAGACCGAGAGCGAGTCTGCAGTTAAGATCCAGAGCGGCAGGTCCAAGATGTAGCGGTTGCCACCAATCGTGATGGGCAGGAAACCGCAGAGAAGGCACGTGACGCGGTCGTACGTGTCGCCTCCGTGCGTCCACTCGGCCGTCGACTTTATCGGCGCGGCAAAGGCGTGGGCCGAGCCAGTAAGGAGAGACTCTGTTTCGGGAACGCGCCAGTTGCCGTGCAAGACGCGCTGGAGTAGGCGAGTGATGATAACCGATATACAAACCGAGGCGACTTGCAGCCACAGAAGGAGCAGCACGCGGTCGCTGCTGCCGACAAAGATGCGTCCCGCGGTGCAGAGAAGTCCAAAGTCCATATCCTGTCCGACGCAGCGCCGATCGATCTCGATAGAGATGCCAACGGGGGCCGTCACGTCGAGCGCGAGATGCGACAGCCATACGAACGCGGTGCTGAGCGGCGCATAGATGCGCGTCATATCGGCCAAGACGAGCACCAAAAGGTCGTGGAGACTGTAGGTGAACCACGTAGCTTCGCCCGCAATCACGGCGGCTTCCACATACGACCGAGGACGCGCCACCATGCGCGTGTAGCCAAATGACGAAGTCAGTTGAAGTTGCGGCGCGCTCAAAAGCAGAATTGCGCTCATGCCGCGGATAAACATGAGCTGGCGACCGACCCAGACCGACCCCACGAGCCGGTTGAACCGAAGGAGGTTGCTACTGACGACCTGAAAGCGACTGAAGAAGGTGTAGAGAAGAGCGAAGACGCCGACACTGACGAGGTACGTTGAGGTAACCATGACGACGTAGTAGACCATCTTGGTGGCGGTCTCGAGAGGTTGGTTGCTCGTGATATAGTGCTGACTAGTATACGCGTTGGAAAGAAGGACAATCGAGGAGACATCGCCTTCAAACGAAGCGGCTTGGCGGAGTCCGGCGGCCCAGTCGGCTGCAAAGCACCAGCCATAGAACGTCCAAGGATCGTCAAGAGAGCCGAGCAGCGGCTGCTGCAAGAGCACCCACGAGCCATTTGCTGAGGTTGCAAACTGCATAAAACCAACTTGCGTATCCTGAAGAACCGGTGGCAGCGACTCGAGCATGGACAAGAGGTCGTCTGGAATAGGTACCTCTTTCAACCAGTTGGATGCTGCAGAGAGCGCTGTTGTACAAGGGCCTGGCGTCGAAGAGAGACCGCAGATGGTAGAGAGAGCGGCTCCATTGCTTGCCAGAAGCGCCAAAAGCAAAGCGAAAGGCGCTGGCTGCACGGTCAGCGGTGTCATTTGTGAGCAGTCGTCGTAAAAGCCAAACGATTTTTGAACGTACGTCGCGGCGCGGCCAGCAACACACGACGGATCGCCGCCGAAGTACGTGTGGTTACGCCACCGAGGCGGCGTCGGCGTCAAAACCACAGATGGAAGACTGGCAAACGATGCAAACCTTGCTGCCGACGTTGCGAGATGCTCTAAGACGACGTCTTGGAACCGGTTGTACGCAGCTACAAGTGGCGATGGCCGCAGCTTGTAGCGAATGTCAATGCTGAGGTACGGCCCGATAAAGGTATGAAAAATCCACGCTTTCCCGACGAGGTTGCCACGGCTGTCGGCCATGCCTCGATACGTCTCCAAGTTGATGGCCGGTAATGCACTGATGTTGGCGCCAAAGTACCGACTCGTGCCCCGGACAAAGCTCCGGTTCATGAGCATCGAGTTGAAGAAGTCGTTGAGTGAAATCCAGAACATATTTTGGGTCGACCACGGGCCCGTGACTTGGTCGAGTGCTTTCAACGTGTAGTTTTCTTGTCTCCCAAGAGCGTTCGACACGACGATGGTCTCAGAGACGCCGGGTTGCCACCGACTCTGCCACTGCAGCTCAAAGATCGACAAGTTGTACGACCGCCAGTAGGTTAGTTCGTCGGCCACCGACGTTGTGTTGGCCGTCGTCGCCATTTGCGATAGAAACGAGCGACCTGCGACTGTTTCTTCCAGCCCACGCTGAATAGCGACATTGAAATTGAGGCCACTGCTGGCCCACGCTGTCAAGTACGCGTCCCAGTTTTGGTTGCGCAGAATGGCTTCGAGGTACACGGCCGCGTTGGCTTGATACTGGCGCTCACAGCGCTCTTGCCGACGCTCCGTGTGGGCCATCTCGAACGTTT